GACCAGACCGACAGCTCTTGTTTCCATCTGCCTCTGAGATCCTAAAATTCTCTTGGTTTTGTTATCTGTTCCGTGTTGGTATGAAGATTCGACGGGGGCTCCTGAAAGTCTCGGTGTGTGTTGGTTGGTGTGATTCCTGTCTTCAAGGGGCTTCCTTGCATAGTTTCAGGAGTGGAAACCCTCGAGGATTTCTGAACATTGCCAGGCGGGTCCGCTGTCACGATGTGCTCTGAGCCCAATGCCTTGGCGCTGCTTGCTGACTCAGCCACCCGCTGCCGTGGCGGGGAGAAGCCGGGCTGCTGACTGACTTCCCGTTTCTGATCTTCACGGGTCTCCGTGGTCTTGTGCTGGGCAGCATCCCAGCAGGATGGGGCTGTGTGCCCTAGGGGTGGCTGGCCTCTCCACAGCAGGTGAAGCTTGGTGATGAGACATCAAAAAGCAGCCTTCTGCCAGTGTGCTGACTCACCCGTCTAAGCAGCCTTAGAAATTGTAGGTCTTTGCAAGTAGATCCTATCTGCCGTGTGGAAAACTCCCATCCACTCAGCTCGGTAATGAGTCTGCATCTGGCTTACACACGTGCTCTCTGTCTGTTTCTCTCTCTCTCTCTCTCTCTCTCTCTCTCTCTCTCTCTCTCTCTCTCTCTCATCATTGTTTTATTACATACATAGTAGAAAATGGATCCCTCCCGCATCAAACTTCTGAGTGTTGGAATTATAGACATTCATTTCTGTGCCCACCATTCTTCTTTTTCTAGTTTTTTCCTGTCCTTCCATGTTAGGAACAGAGAAAATACATAATGTTTATATAACAAGGCATTGAATACATAGGCCAGTAATGACGGCTGCCACTTACTAGTTTCTCTCTGGGTATCAGAGACTGTCCCGTATTGTGTCCCAAGTAATGGCAAGACTTGGATTTGAGAAATGTCTGTCTACTTTGAAAAGCAAAGCCCTAGCCCTTTTTACTAGCTCCCCCCTCCCATTGGATGGGGCGAGCATTACCTTGAGCAGGGGCCTCACACTGTGAGCTTCCTATCTCTTCTCGAGTGTGTGGGGTTTCTAGAGCTACCTTGTTTGTGTGTAGTCCTGCTGCTGGAGGAAGAGCGACATTGTCCAGAGTGTTTGGGTAAAGCAGATCATCTTCCACCCTTGCATCCCATCACAGAATGGCCAAACGTTCAAACTCGGCAGGAGGTCAGAATCACTTCCCCAAGACAATACCTTAGGGCAGCAAGTATTAGAAGGCCGAAGAAAGCGGTCTACCGGAATCACTGAGATTTTCAGAAATTTTGTTGTGCCCAGTGCCAAGGTTTATGGAGTTGAAAACAGAACTAGAAGAAAACCGGCTGCTTCCCCCTGTGCCCCGCCCCCATCTCTTTGAGCTGTAGACCCCTCTTTGACATCTCAGAATCCGTCTCCATGTCCTCACTGCCTCTCTTCCACACTGCAGGGCCACCTTCAGTTACACTGTGCCCTCTGGCTCCTTCTCCAGTTCAAGTGCCCATCCTTCCAATGGGATGCTCCCCCTTCACAGTGATTTCTAGAGTCGAAAGATATCTCACTATGACCAAAGGTGGGGCTCTCTTCTCTCCAGCATCACCAACCTCTCTGCCCTAGCCCTACTGAGCTTCCTTCAAAATTCCTGAACGTGCTGTGTCTTTGCTGGCTGTGATTTCTGCCATTCACCACCTGACCAGCTCTTCTTGAGTCCTTGGGGCCAACCTTCTAAGGCCCATTCTCAGCCCTTCAGTCCAGGTTAAATATGTCGTTCTCTGTGCTTCCTCCTATCATGGTCCTTAAAACAGAGCATGATTGGAGCCGGTGAGGTCCTCAGCTGATAAAGGCGCCTGCCACCTAGCCGACAGGCTGAGCTTGGTACCCAGGACCCACGAGTAGGAGAGAACCGACTCCTGCAAGTTGTGTTGTTCATTGGCCTCAACATGTATGCTGTAGCATGCACATGTTCACACATGTCGACACAAAATAAATAAACTGTAATTGAATCTTTCTAAAGCACAGTGTTATGGGTGGCTGCTTCCCTGGCTCTCTCCTGCTGCTGTTACTTCTAAGCTCCTGCTGAGCAAAGATCTTTGTCTTACGTTGGCTTTTATGTTCTGGGGCTTAGCGTAACACTAAGAGCTTAATAGGTGTTTATTGTTGTCATTCTTTTTTCTCAAAATTGGTAGTTTATAAAATTCCAAGAATCAGAGTGAAATTGAAGGCAAGTGTTCTGGGCAGTGTCACTAGGGCGGGGTTGGGAGCTGACTATTTGGGGGCAGGGGGGCGGGTCTTAGTTACTCACTTGTTGAGATGTTATTTCTCATTCTTTCAGGCAGCATAGTGGGGCTGTGGGTTGGAAGTGGGTGTTTCTTGTGGTCCAACCACAGCTCTGAATCTGGGCAGAGCCTTCCCAAGCTGGACCTTTGACATCCCTTTCTGGGTAGGGAATAAGGCATCTTCAAGCCAAGGCCTTTTCACATCTAATGGCTCTCTTTGTTTCTGCTGTTCCAACTATCAGAAAGACTGAACCCTGTTTGAGACTTGACAAGGTCGTGTTTCCTGGTGCCCAATAGTGTTTGTGTGGCCCAAAGCCACAGTGCTTAATTCCCAGAAAGTAGAGGGCATTTGATAAATTCGGCAGCTAACACGTCGAGTGCCTGATGTCTACACAGATGGACTACATGCTGTAGGTAATGCAAGGAGCTGAACTAATCTCATGAAGCACATCTTTGCAGACATGGGAACGGGTGGCTTAGTCTAGGTCCGGTAACCATGCTCCAGTCCAGAGCACTAAGAAAAGACACATCTTAATGAACTTAATTGCAGACAGGCTAGGCCTTCTTGAGCCCATTCAGGAAACGGAAATGCTCACGTGTAGTGCATATGAGCCCATCGTAGGAGACCCGAGGGTGAGCGTGTGGGGTTGGAGGAGCTGTTCTTGTCTGTATTTGCCCACGGTGGGTGGAAGGAGTCTCCCGTGAAGGTCTCTCAGGCAGGGCTTTGAGAATCATCTCACCGTGAAGCTCAGGAAGTGGAGGTGAGAGCCAGTGGTGGAGACATTGTTCTCTCTTCCAGGGCTACAAAGCTAAGATGAAAGGAGCCTAATTTCCAGGTAGAGAATTGTCTACTGTTTCTGCACCTGCCAGGAGATAGCATCATCCTAGAGCAGCATGAGATACGGAGAGGAGTGGGGAGGGCTTGGGGTAAGAGAGGGATGAGAAGCTTAGGCACCGAACAGACTGACCTTTAGCCGGGTCTGTTAATGTCTACTGGGGCACTTGTTCCTTTCCCACACGTGTAAAGGACCCCCAGGAGGGGAGCCTCAAGCCTCCAGCAGGTGGTAAACATCCCAGCTTGACTCTGTCTAGAAGACAACAGTTTTCTTCCTAGTTTAGGAAAGGAAGGGGGTAAAGGTTTAGCTTTTGCCTTGGCTCCATCAGTGACACTCAAGCTGTAAGCTTATTAAGGGGTTCACATTTTGGGGGCTAATACTTCATTTTCTTCTAGTATCATAGATACAGCCTGGCTCTTTACCCTTTCCCTCAACAACAAAAACAAACAAAACAACAACAACAACAACAACAATAGGAATGGTTGAGTTGGTCAAATGTGTGAAATGAAATGGTCCGAAGGACGTGGCCGTGACTAGCAGGACCCTTGCACATTATCTCATGGCCGCCCCGTCTTCTCTTCGAGTGGCCAGCACATCTGCCTCTTCTTAGGATTTTTACAGCTCCTTGGTGATTTCTGTGCTGTCGCAGAATGGACACTGGAAATCAGTTCAGCAGATAGTCCGAGGCCTGAGTAACCAGATCCTGGCTGCTAGAGATGGTGGTTGAATTCTAATTAAGAACTTTATACTAAGTGATCAGAACGACATCACAGTGCTATGTGGGCATCCAAACTGTTTCAGTTCTGAAAGCTGAGGGACACAGAAAACTCTGTGTGTGTGTGAGTGTGTGTGTGTCTGCCTGTCTGTGCATTTGTCTGTGTGTACATATGTGTGTTCATGTATCTGTATGTGTGTGTGTGCTACAGATCAGACCTGTTAGGCTTTGTGTCTGCTGGGTGAGCACCACGGAGCTATATCCCCAATCAGCATCTTTATGTACTTCATTCCTGGTATGAACTCAGTTGTGTCCTTCCTACTAAATTACGTGGCTAACAGCTGACACTTGGATTGGATTGTTTACTACAAACTCCTGTTGCTGAATATCTCAGTCTGATTCTGTGTGTTTGCTTTTGCTCCCTGGGAAGCAACTTTGCTCCCTCCCGTGGGCTCTCGTCAGGTTCCTGACTCTTTCATCAGGAGCTCACTCAGACAGCACCCGTGTCTGAGCCATCTCGCAAGTGGGTGTTTTGTAAATGTTTCCCAATCATTATGAGAAAGATTCAGGAAGGTCACATGCTGGGGAGGAGGAAGAATGCTGGGAATGAGAGCAGGAGCTTTGTCCCCTGACCTTTCTTCCCAGTGACTTGCTGACTGTCAGTGTCAAGACCTGGGTCCCTCGGCCTCGATGGTTGGTGTCGTGGGGCTTTCAGGAAAATGTGGTCACCACTGTTTTCTTGCGACAGCACCTGCTGGTCAGCGTTTGTATTGGCTGGTGTCTTTTGGTCTCAGTCTGGATTCCTCTGTAAGAAAGAGGAAAGTAGTGTGGATTAGTAACTGAAGAATTATGAGCGCTTCCCTTGTTGGGAACATAACCTTTCCTAACACATTTGCCTTGAGAAGTCCGAAATGTTAAGTTCCAGATTCAAAGCACTGACTCCAAAGTCCATATAAGTAGAGTTTTTCTCTCTCACAGCCAGGGTACTCCTTGCCTCAGTTTCCTGTCTGCATAGTGATTGCTGGAAGGTGGGACCTCTCCACCCGCTCCCCGGATTAAAGAGCTATGATTTGGGCCCTCTTTTCCAACTGCCTGTGTTTCCTAAACCCCCTTTCGGCCTGTTCCCAGCCCGCTCTAGGCGTTTGCTGATTCGCACCTCTGATTTGTGTCCTAGGTGTTCTTCGTGTCTGATCTCTTCAAGACTAAGGCGACCCTCTCGCTGCCGGCCCCCGCTCTCAGGAAGGAGATCCTGTCGCCTGTGGACATTATCGACAGGAACAACCACCACAACATGGTGTAGGTGCTGCGGCTCCAGAGCGTTTGGTTTCTCTGAAGTGACCGCTGACAGCGTGTTTCTGCTGCTCTCCCATCTCATCTGACAGTAGAATGTAGGGAAAAGCTTTTTTGCCCGATGGATTTTGAAAACATTTAAAGAAAAGAAAAAAAAAAAAGCCTTATCTTGTGGCCTTCCCAAATAGGTTGTTTGCCTGTGTGGAGACAACAGGGCCGGCGGCCTGAGTCCTGGCTGTGCGTGGGCTAGTGTTCATGTTCTAGTGAGCACAGGCCTGTCAGGAGCAAAAAACACTAGAATGATTGAGCAGAGGCTGTGGTCGCCTTCGGTGACCTGAGAAATCCCAGACCAGTGAGAACAGCTCCAGCTCCTGTGTTGCATACAAGGCTCAGACCAGCACCAAATCAGCCCCTCTGCCTGACCCACTTCTACTGTGACTTTGGTTCAAGGAAGTTTTGCGTTTTGAGATACCAGGAATGAGTGCTTTGGCTCAGAGTGGTCAGAACCCTAATCCAAATTCCTGGTGCTGAGGCCTCTGTCATCTCCCCCCATCCCCAGGCTAACAACCACAGGCCCTCACTTTTAGAGATTAGGAGACCCTTTGTGGAAGAGTGAACTTCACAAACAGCACAAGTTCAGAGGACCCAGAGGGTGTCTTCTGATGCACCGTACTGTGACGCGGAACTGCCACTGCAGGATCAATCACCGGGCACTTGCACATGTAGAAACGGTTAGACTTCGGTTACTGCCGTCCCCTTGAGGTCCTTGCTGGGTGCGTAGCGGGATCTCAGATGGGGGGCCAAGGATGAGCACAGGTGTGGTCGGACTCTGGCTGACCAAAGGAGCCTCGGTAAAGAGACAGGAAGGGGAGGGAAAGGGCAGAATGAAAAAAAAAAAAAGAACCAACTTTTTGGCTCCTTGGGATCAGAGCGAGCCAGAGTAGCAGACAGTCTCATGCCCAAAAGGTTTTCACCATAAGGGAGCCCAGAGGGTTTTTGCAGGAGCTGGTCTTGCTGTGTAAAGCACTATTGTCTCCGGGTTGATCCCTGGGACAGTCCTTTGGTGGGTTCTGCTGGGCAGAACACATGGGTTAAATCTGCATAGAGAGTTTTTTCCTTATCCTCTATCCACAAGTGTCCTTCCAAGCAAGGTCCCGTTCTAGACAGTAGACAGGAGACCCTTCTACTGAACCTCCAAGGAAAGGAAGAAGGAAAAAAAAAAAAAACAAGTGCTTTTCAAATCTTTCAAAGGGCTACACGTAACCATATGGATCAACCACATGCACATCCTTCCACAGACTCCGTCCTTTCATTTCAACATATAGCAAGCTATGATTTTATATATAAATATTATATAAATAATGTATAAAACATTAAAAGTTAACTATGTAAGATATTATTTCTGAAACAACTTTAGCTATATCCACTATGATTATAAACTGTGTCTCGACCTGTGTTATTTACTTTAGCTGCTTAAAGGAGCATTGAGTTATTTTTTTTTAAATCTCAACTAAAACTATCATAGTTCTGTGGTAGCCATTGTTCTACAATGAGAGAAATAACTGCAACTAGAGAAAAACTGTATAAAAACATTAAATCGTCAGTATTTTTGTAAGGTTCCGTTTTGTAAAGAGAATAATATTCAAAGATTTTTTTTTTTGTGGCATACAAAGTGAAAACGTGTATCTGCGAAACTAAACATGTATTAAATGTGCTTTTTAAATAAAAGCTCATAACATGACTAACCAAGGCTCTGCTGCCTGGACTGTTTGAGGGTTGTCTCTTTGGGGTCTGTGGGCGGGAGAAGGAGGTATTGTAGGCTGGCCTCTGGGTGGACTTGCCTCTGATTGTCTCAGTGGGAAACAATCATGGCCACTGCAGAGGCAGGATGCGGAAGCTGTTCTTTCATCTCCCAAGCCTGTTTGCAGAGGGAGGCTGGGGGCTGGCTCTCATCTCCAGCCTCTTAAAAGGGCTTTTGTGCTCTAAAGGGTTTTCATGTGGGAGGTGGGAGCTGTGGGTCCCCCGAAGATAGATATGGAGACTTCCCTAGATAACGTGGGCTTGGGGAGCTTAAGGAAAAGTCTTTCCCACAGCCCGTATCAAAGGAAGAAGATGCTCTGTTGACAAGGGCACTGGGTTCCCATTCTCCTGCCTTGTGCGCCCCCCCCCCCCAGCCCAGAAGGGAAAAGGTGTGTTGTGCACCTGTGTGCCAGCCAGTTCTTCCTGGTTGTCCCTTTATACCTCAAAGCCGAACCTAGCCTGAGAAAGAAGGAACGAAGGCTTTGGAATGCAGATGATGTAAATTGCCTAAGAGCCTGCCAGCACGTTGTAGGACAGGCCTTAGGTTAGTTTGTTTTTGCTCCTATAAAAAATAATTACAAATTACAACAGCTTGGTGAGTTGAAATAACACAAATTTGTTACCTTCCTGGGAAGGAGGCTTTAGAGAAGCTCCTGCCTTTTGTAGCTTCCTGAGTCCTCCTGCGTCCCTTGACTGTGGGCCTCGTCCTCCTCACTTCGCCTTCTTGTTTTCTTCTGTTCCTCTTCCATATGTAGCATCATGGTGATTGCCTGAACCCTTGGATAATCTAAAATCATCTTATGTTAAAGCCTACTAAGTCAAAAACTTAATTCCATCTGCCACTAAATTCCCCAAGCTGTGCAATACAACCTTCAGATTCCAGGGACCTGAACAATCGTGACCTGATAAACTCAAGCTGTGTGCTCCCAAAACTCCACGATGGGACCATGCACAGTATAACAGTACAGACATTTATATTAAAGGGAGAGAGAGGGCTAAGGATGGCTCGGGGGTACAGTCCTTATCTAGCAAAATGAAGGAAGGCTTGGGTTCAATCACACACACACACACACACACACACACACACACGCACCATGCTGCTCCTAACTTCCTTTGCCTCTGAAATCAGCTTGCCACTTGCTGCTCTCAGACCCCACCCACCACCGCCCCCCTCCAGCCAGCAATATTTTGACATTTTTGTGGCCTTATATACAGGCTCAGAGGTTGAAAGGATGGCCTGCTCTTCCAAAGGTCCTGAGCTCAATTCCAACATGGTGACTCACAACCATCTGTAATAAGATCTGGTGCCCTCTTGAGGAAGAGACCTGGTCAGTGGTCCTCATCAACTTCGACCATGAAACCCAATATTTTGGACACTATCCAGGATGCAGTCCAAATTTTCACTTCAAGTCCCAAGAACAAAGGTTCAGAGAGTCCAGAGAACTTCCTGGTGTCAGGAAAGGAGAGCTGGTACTTCTAGAATCTAAGACACCTCATTCATCTCTTCTCTAAAAGTGCTGAACTGTCCTCAAGAAGTAACCTCACTTCAAGGTCTTTGACCCTGATTCTAAAAATATGGTCCACAGAGCAACCAGTAATATCTGTATCCCTGAGGAATGTAGTAGAAACATTGAAATAGAAGACCCTCCTCAACCTGAACCTACTGAATAGGACCCTTCCTATTGGTAAAATCCCCAGGGGACTCTTCTATGTAATAAGCTTTGTCCCATAAACCTTTAGATTCTGCTGAGGTGTGCACTGTCTCCACCGTGTCTTCACGGGGCTCACTTCAGTATATACTGGGTCAGACATTAGTAACCTCAAAGCTTTATGAACCAGAATTACACAAAGAACTCTAACAAGTCTGAGACGCTCTCTGGGTCAAAAGCACGCCTCACGCTGCCTGCATCCTACCTTCCTGTACAGAATGACATAATCCCCATTGGGCCAGTTAGCCAGCAGCCAGGTAACAAAGCCCTGTGACCATCAGTAACACCAACTAAACAGGCTTCAGATTCATAAAAGCTCAAAATGCTGCCCTTCACTTTAGGGATGACTGAAGATAACATGCTGTTCTGAAGTGGGGGCAAACAGACTCAGTAAAGAATCTTTTCTTAATTGACACCTCTAACGTGGGATAGCACTGGGATTCAGACTTAAACAATTTCAGTTATTCATTGACAAAGTATTTACCAATTACTTCCTAAGTCCTAGATAAATACGTCAGTACGACCCAGCAGCCATAAAGGCTTCTTAGGAAAAATTAGTTCCTTCCAGTCAAGAGGATGAACTTCTGGCCTGAGTGGAGAACTAACACTCCAAACTACTCAAAATAGACAAGAGTTAATCCAGTCGGGCTGGTCAATCACCTGGCTAAGGGATCACCCCATGGAAGGCTGGCTTCCGTTAAGCCTTGCTAAAGAGATGGGCGGAATGGTTATCCCCAGAATGAGATACTGTAGTTTCCCCAAACTCAATCCCCCAAGACTCCTACCTAGAACCATCCCAACAAGCTGTCCCGAGGCTCAGCTTGTTCTGTCTGCCTTTCTGAGTCCTAACTCAGACATGTATTCCTCCTCCTCCTTCTTCTCCTTTTTTTGGTCTTTTAGGTCTCTTTCTTTTAGGTACTGGTGGAACTGAAGTACGATTTTTCTCATATTTCAGGCTTTCTTATTCTTCCTCTAAAGTCCCCCTCCATTACTATGTGGCAGCTTGTACTCATGTGGCTAGCTTCTATGCTGGCTTACCTTAAACTGTATGCCTTTTGCCTTTTCTTCTCCGTTCTTTTTCTGCAGACAGGTGCTAAGGTTCACCTATCTTGAGGTGGCTTCTCTGCCTCCTTTGTCTCTAGTTGACTACTAACCTGTCTATCATCTCATAGAGAGTGATGCCCATTCTTTTTCTTCAGATAGAGCCACAGGTGTTATTTGATGAATGCTGATTACATGGAGAACGAAGACACCCCTAGTCTAGTTGGCACGTTAATGCATGTTTGCCCACATATATATGTATATAGGTTTATGTATTTTCACATGGTTGAATGTGTGGTTGGAGATGTGGGTGCCACCTGTAAGGATGCTGCCGTGTTTGCAGTGAGATGAGACAGGAGAAAGAAAGGACAAACAACTGGTGCTTTGGTGACCAAATTGTGGAACTCCTGGTCCAGGCAGCTCTCAGACAAAAACTTGCTGGGGAAGGTGCTGGTTATAGGGGGTAGAATCCATTGTATTTAAACAGTAAATGGCAAGCTTCTTATGGGTTCAGAGTGTTGGGAGGAGGTGGATGTGTCTCACATTACAAGGGCAGCCTCAGTGGACACTGGTTCCCATAGATAGGGCTTGCATGCCAAGGTTCATGTTCCCTTTTCTTTGTCCTTCTTTGAGGATGGTTCTTACCACGCGCAGTGGCCTCTTTCCATCCACCAGGCACCAGTCCTGCGCCTGCGGTGCCATTCCGCTCGTTCTCCGGCGCACGGATGCAAGCAGAGGCTTTCTCCTGGCGTTCTCCGTCTTGTTCTCTCTGTGCTCGCTCCAGGGGACGCTGTCTGGGGCCTATAGTTATCGGCAGAGGAGTTTCAGGACCATGATATCACCTGCTCAGTTGGGAAACCCCAGCATGAACCGAGCCATCAGAGGAAATGAGTGGCAGTCCCCAAGGAGACTGGCTCGTGGAGTCAGCGCCAGCCGCGGGAGAGGAAATGAGGGGAAACTGAGGTCAGAATTGTGAAAGCACTACCAGTGTTTGCTTCGTCATTCACCATCCAGTCAGCAGGCAAATGTCTCTGCTACGCTGAGAGCTCAGCATAGTTCCAGCAGCCAGGGAACCGCAGTTTAAACAGCAGACAAAGACAAAGTCAAAGTCCGGGATGTTTCAGAAAACCCAAAGAGGAGGAATCCAAAGGAAAGGGAGATTATATAGGAAGCAGATAATACTAATAAAGAATGTGGACTTAGAGTTAAAACAAAACAAAAATTCCTTTTCCTTAAATCTCCCCTTGGCCATGCATCATGCAAACTACTCATTAATTGCGTTTATTTCTTCAGCTGGGTATCAAATATGGCATGGCTGATGTAGAAATTCTGATTAAAGTGACATGATTTTTTTAAGCCAAGTCTGACTCCCAACAGA